AAGTAACATTCACCTGCTTTTCGTAAAATATATGATGGATTAAAATTTCTTCTCTACACTTTTACATCTTCCTTTTATAATTTATTCTCCTGGTTAATAATTCAGTTTTTAGTAATTTTGTATTCTTTGAACTTTGCTATTCAAACTGTTGTCCCGAAAAAGAGTAGAGACTTGGAGATTTAGCCATGTGGTTGAGACAAAACAGTAAAACCGAGGAAGGCAACCTCCAGAGCTACACATACCTCTTCTATTATGAGTAAAAATCTCACAAGTGGCCATCGCTTCTATTTTACAATGGTTGGTTTGCAAGGATCTAATTGACCTCAAGTTTTATCATGAACTGACTTCAATTAGAGGACCAATGAGGACGAGGCAGTACTGGGTAACCATTTCGTCCTAGCTTGCGACTTTTTGACAGGACCACTTGTATTCTCCTCAGCATCGAAGCCAGGATGTCCAAAACGGTCTCACTAAGACCACTTATCCACTGAGATGAAATGTAAACACCTATTAATTCTAACTTCTACCAAATGGTGATTAATAGCTTGACCTCTGGCAAATATCATCTTTTAGTATTTGTCTCGACACCCAATTGGGTTGACTGCGCCGGTTACGACTTCCTACTAGGACTTCAAGTTTCTATTTTTACTTCAACATAGAATCCCATAGGAAAGCCAGCTTTTAGGCTTTAGTCAACTCTTCTTCTAAATAATTTGGTTAGTAGAACGTTTTCTTCTGTGTAGTTCTATTGAGAAGGCTTTCAATTATTTTACTAATTTCAACCGTTTTCACTGTAGTCATCTTCATTCCGGTCATCATGAGTATTATTTTATTCAGGGTGACATGAATTCAGTACATACAAGCCAATGTTTATTTCTGTTGGCCTCTGTTTTCTGTCCCACTGTAGAAAACAAAAGATATTTTTTTCATCCTCCTAAACACAAAATCATCATTTTGTTCACTACTTTTCACACAATGTGCATTATCCACTTTTTCTCCTCTGAATTTCATACCAATTTTACATGTCAGTCAACTCTTGTTCACAAAAAAGATTTAGAGATATCCTCTATCTCGTCCCTATCAAAATATCTAAAAGGCTATACTGCTATAGTTTGTTTATTTTTTTGAGTTGTTTTTTAAAGCCTAATCTATGAAACACATTTATAAATATCATGCACATTCCAACAATGATGATTGTATCGAGTATTGAACGCTGAACTATCTAATATACATGTGGACGTGTTTTTTAAAATAAAAAGAAGTTAATCCAAGTTTCTGTCGGTTGTACACAAACTGACCGAAATCTTGGACAAATTTATAGAGTTTTGTTTAAATTAAAAAATGAAACCCATGTATTTTGATTGAATTAAAACACGGAGCCATTGAATATTGAAAGTATTATGTGGTGTCCTAAAATTTGAACTGACTGTGATATTGTCGAAATGACTCACTAGTAGATTTCAGGAAAGAATATTAAATTCTGCTCACCATTTAGTCATTATTATTACTCATATGATTCATTTCTTGTGTTTTGTGAAGAAGAAGAAAGGGCCTACATGTCACCCACTGCCACTTAATTCTCCACTTTCCGTGAAGGTTTGCTTTCTCCAGACTGGCGTTTGATGTCACTTATCATTTGTCTTGGCGTGTGTCCTATCCACCTCCATTCCCTTGTGAATACTTTTCAGGTCTTAGAATTTCAGCTGATCTTCTGTCAAAGTTCACTGCTAGTATATGTGTAAAACTTGGGCACTGTGGTAGTAAGTAATTCCATATTGCTTTTGTTTATTAGATGCATCACACAGTGAAACAGTATTATTTACTGGATGAAACAGTTTCGTACATGATTATGAACAATAAATTTTGTTCGAAACATCATCCAGTAAATAATACTGTTTCACAGTGTGATACATCTAATAAACAAACCAATATGAAAGTTCACTGCTGAAAAAATCTAATACCAAAGAAATTAGGATGGATGGGACATACTTTGAGAAGACAGGTGAGTGGCCTTACACGTTAGGCAAGTCTTCGAGAGGAACTTGAATGGGATGAGATAAGTTAGGCTCTCGAGAGTTGCATGAGGGAGATCGTGTGGGGAAGCGATGAGGGCTGATGGGCAGTCATAGGACCTGAGCGAATTTGAGATATGATTCTGAATCTCACTGTTCCACTCGGAAACTAAGGGACTACTGACAAAAATAATAAGGGCTTTACGAACAGATTTTAATCGTGCTTGTACCTACTGTCGCTTGTGTTGACGATAGTGGAAATGTGTAGTGATCAAGAACTGATAGTGAGTCATTTCTGTTACACTCATCATCAGCTGGATCTGTAAAAGCGTCATAAGCCACCATTGTCTTCCTTCGTCGCGTTATGCTCTATATTAATTGATTCCAACTTATCCCTCTCGCCTATGCTTCACACCTCGAATTCATCTTATGGTAATAGATAATATGAAATATTCATTTTTGTAGTCCGCATAATATTTTAAAGCCAACATAGTTTGTTACTGGGTTCCATCAAGGACTGTCATAAAATTGAAATAATCTCCATTGTCATTGCGTTAAGTTGGCCAGTAGGTAATTTCATGCTGGTATATATTATCATTAAATTACATCGTTTACAGACACCTTTTCCTTCCTACTCTAGTAGCCCGCTGGGAGTCAAACTCAGGACCTTGATATAGCGAAATAAAGTCTACCATTGACCAATAGACCAATGGTATCCAACAGCCAGTTCGTAGTACAATAAAATTGCTTTCCAAAGTCATAAGGAAGTAAATATCCTCATAGGGAACCTGCTGAACAACCACGGTCACAACAAATTGTCAGGACTCCAATAAATTCATCTCAAAGTGATTTACCGATGATGAGTGGGTTATTCTTTTTATATCAGCTTGTGACGAAGTCGACCTTGGAATGAATCAAATCCACTGAAGTTCATTTAGATTTACTGTAACTTTAAGATTATGTGAGGAGTTGTTCTCAGTCTTGACTTTTTCCACAACTGACTCCCCTGCGTCTTAACAATAATAAAAACAGAAAAAATCAACTGCTGAAAAATACTCACGTTTATTAGAGTACATATCACGGAGGATCACAAAAAGATTTCCCAATTGTAAATATTTCCTACTCTTTCTTTCGAGTATACTCTAGGTAAAAACTGTCCTTGGCTTTGAAGAATTGAAAAAACACTGGAAGTGACACTCATATTAGTTATTTAGTCAAGAAATAACAATAAAGAATCATTGAACGCGAACACCCAGTCACACACACACATTACACACACTTATACAAAGCATGTTACACTCATACATCTATTCCTCTTTATGAATTTGAATAAAGCAAAACAACTGTTTGTAAAGAATAAGATGCTACCATCATTGCTTATTTCGTTAATCTCTCTCATCATCATCTGCCTTCAGCCTAAAGAAATCATTAAGTTCATTTGCAGAACCATTTTAAAATACTTGCAATTTCCACATGATGTCAGCTAACAGACAGTTTACATTTAAACACGTTTAAACATCAGTGTATGCATGCAATTGTGATATTTACGTGATAAGGACAAGAGGTGAGTAAGATTATGAGTGACTAATCAACTGAGCAACAATCCAGTGAGTTCAACATCAATCATAGAAACAAGAAGCAAGCAAAGTTACGTTTTAAGAAAGAGGGTTGGGGCTAAAGCCAAGGAGTGTAAAGTCAAATGAGGGAGAGAGTAAAGACATCCAGTTACCAGGATAAAGAAAGACTGATAACTGCTTCTTTCTGAACACATAAATCGAGTTACAGGAGTTTGATAGCGATTGATTCGGTAAAATTGAGCAAAATCGAACTGCTTTGTTTACTAAACGTTTAATTATACACCCCCTTTGAACATTTAAACAACCTATGAACTATTATATATATACATATGAGATTATTTGTTTTGACACTTGGTATTGAACTATGATTATAATCACAAACATCTTAATTGCATTTCATACTATTATTACTATATGGATTTACTCCAGTTAAATCTCTTCAAGAGATATAATGTTTTATTAAATATGCCATTCTACAGCTTGATAATAAATTTGAACAATGCAAGAACTACAGTTTTAGCAGAATAAAATGGTACCATCTTTTATTTCGCTGCCTTCTCGTCAGCTGCTTACATGGCAAAGACATTATTAAATATATCTACAACAACAATTTTAACATACTTGCACAGAGTTCAGTTTAAACAAAAATCAATCGATCAATATACGCATACACTAAAAATATATACATATATAAATATTTTTGTTTAAACTGAACTCTGTGCAAGTATGTTAAAATTGTTGTTGTAGGTATATTTAATAATGTCTTTGCCATGTAAGCAGCTGACGAGAAGGCGACGAAATAAAAGATGGTACCATTTTATTCTGCTAAAACTGTAGTTCTTGCATTGTTCAAATTCATTAAGGGGAATAAATGTATGGTAATAAATTCATTGAAAAGACTCTGTCTGCTGAATATTTTGTCCCTAATACTTTTTCTGTTGATAATTTTAAATGATTTCACGATGTCCACCTCATGACCCGAAATGATGAGATGTCTGGCAGTGGCGTTATTATTAGCGTTAGTTGCCTTGAGAAGTAGGCTTTTTGGTACATGTTAAAAAATTGGGAGGTGTATCCTTCTTTCTGTCCTCTCAATGTAACTGCCACAGCAGATACATGTGAATTTGTATACACAGTCAGAGTTAACACGAGAAGGTTATATGTCGACTTGTGATTGCATCAAAGACAACGCTGTCCGATAGACAGGAACAAAATTAGTTGCAGGATAGGTTCTCGCTAGTGAGGCATTCAATCGTCTGTTGGCTATTGCTGCAATATCATCACCTTTGAAATGGGGTCAAATTAAGATAAGCTCTTTTCCGACTGTGATTTGTTTGACATTTGAGGTTACACATCTCACGTGCTTATTATGAATTTCTGAGGGTAACTGTTGTTTTTCAACAACTTTTAGAGAAACAGAAATTCTTCCAGTTTCTCTGTAGACTGTGTTCTCTTGGCTCAATAAACACATTACTGACCAATGCTTGTCTTTATCTAATTGGACAATCACCGCTGAAAGTGAAGTATTGTCCACTGCACTACGAGTTCGAGGTATGTTTGGAGTCTTTCTTTCACTGACATTATGTAACATTTGCAAGTATGTTAAAAATGATTCTGTTCAATATTATTGTGCCATTATTATTTCCTTTGTTTCCTAGAGAAACATTAGAGTTCAGACGCACGTCTCCAATGCGTTCGGTTCTCCGCCAACATTTTCACCTGGCTTCACATCTGCACACATGCTTTCATCTTCTCTTCGTATCACCTTCACGTCACCCTCAAACTGACGACCAACTCGCCTCTTCACATTCCGGTTCCACTCAAGTAGTAGCTTGGCGTGTGATGTCACTTGATGGTTTTCTCAGAGTATGCCCAATCCATCTCCATTTCTTACTGCATATTTATTGCACAACTGTTTCCTACTGGGTTGGTTCGCTCATTGCCAGAGATCCATGTTGCTGACCTTTTCTAGCCGGCTGTCTGATCTTGAGCAAAGTATTGAACGAAGACAGCTGTTGATGATAGTCTGTAGTTTGTTCGAAGTGCCCTTCGTGACGCAACAGCCAAGTCTCTGATCCGTATGTTAAGTAGAACTGACTTCAAATTGGAGTTGAAAATCCGGATCTTATTTTTATTTTCATGCTGAGTGGTGTTGACCTTCACACAGACTTGAGAGCAGTGAAAGCTTGCCTTGCTTTTCCGATCCTCGTCGCTTTGATATCCTCATCAGTTCCGTCCGCCTTTCGTTAAAACGATATTTCCGAGGTAGGTAAAGTAGGTTACATTTTTCGGATTTCTCCCATTATCCTGCCTGATAGTTGTCTGTTGTTTTTGTTGTTCCTGATGCTATTGGCCAGGAATCTTCATCACCTGTGTTTTCTCTATGTTCACCTGAAGGAAGTCTTATCTTTTCACGATGCTCCTTCTGCCAACTTGTCACTTTTCACTTGCATATCTCCCAGTTTGTGGGAAGTCAGGCGTATATCATCGTCGAAGTCCAGATCCTCCAAGGTTTTGTGTGGCTCCATTTCATGCCTGTTTCCTCTTTCCCCGCTGTCTGTCGCATTAGCAAGTCTACCTCAGTCAGGAAATCGATCATTGGAGATAGTAGGCAGCCAGATTGTCTTACTCCCGTCTTCACGTCAAAAGATTCCGTGAGTTTCTCATTGTGGATTACTTGACATGAATTATTATCGTACAACTGTTGGATGAGGTGTATAATTGTTGGCAGCACCCCGTAGTAGCGAAGTAATTTGCAAATCACCTCTCGATCTATGCTGTCTGTTGAAGGCCTTTTCAAAGTCAGTGAAGTTGAGATAGAGAGCTGACTGCCATTCCAAGCTCTGCTGAATGATGATCCGTAGTGTCACAATTTGATCGATTCTTTATATAATGTACTCAATGATTTCTTTGGGCTGTAGGCACCTGATGAGAGGGGCCGACGAAATAAGCAGTGATGGTACCATCTCATTCTGTAAAAACTCTTATTCTTGCTTTATTCAAATATTATTTTCATTTGCAAATGTTACGTATTTACAGGCATTTAAACAAAAATAATTACAGCTTTTTCTACTCAACTTCCTTTTGTACAGTTCTTTTAGTGTAATCGCCGGAGCTTCACACAAATAAGTTTCACAAATCTGAACAGCTGACAGTTTCCTGCCAAATTTCACTATTCCTAACGAGAAGCTCTAAGAAAACTGATACAATAACATTGGAATACAAATCCCAAACGGGAAAGTAAGAAATTAAACTATTAACAAACATAACAATATTAATAACAATAATACAGAAAGCCATCACGGAATTTAATTTTGGAGCAACAAGCGGCGGGTAGTTGGTGTCTGTCAATAATCTGAAAACTATTTGATTGTTCCTCTGACTAATGCCCAGATAGTCAATATTTGTACGATATAAATCCTGATCGAAGTTAAACGTGATAATACTCTTCTAAAACATTCACTACAAATCCATATGATTTGTCTTAATTCACGCGTTAAAAAACTACTGCGCGATGAAATCGAGTCTGTTCTACGCACATTTCTGTTAATATTTTGTTTGATAGCTGTGTTCTCATTTCATAAATATTTCTGTACAAAAAAGACCAAATTTGCATCAAGTGATCATAATAACAATGATGTTAATTCTTATATAAATTACACATATTTATTAACTGAAGAGGAATTGAATTTCCCATTAGCATTCAGTGTAATTACTTATCGTGATTTTGATAGAGCATTTCGTTTGATTAAAGCAATTTATCGACCTAACAATGTATACTGTATACATACTGATAAAAATACAAACAGCATTGAATACACTGAATTCGTTCAATATGTTCAACAACTAGGTGAAAATATTTATTTTGTCCCAGAAGATCAACGTGTTCATGTTGTCTGGGGTAGATATTCTGTGTTGGAGGCTGATTTAAATTGTGCTAAATTACTATTAGCTAAAAGTAAAAAATGGAGATATTTTATCAATTTAACTGGACATGAATTTCCACTAAGAACTAATTGGGAGTTGGTTAAAGCATTGAAAGCACTGAACGGTTTGAATGTGGCGCCAGCGCATTGTTTACAAAGCAAACCATGGCGTATACCACCAAAACGTCGTGTTCCTTTAGATGTAAGTTAAATTTTTTTGATTGACCATTTTTATTTTCTTATTTTTCCACACTTTTACAGGTATAATATTCAGTTTATCAGAAGTAAATAGTAATTTTCAAGACGTCTTGGTGTAGTTATTTCTCGAAAAAGAGAAAAGGCCCTGTCTCATTATCAACAATAAATAATACAGCTGTGTAGAGAGAATCAGTGTTTGGGAAACAATTTCATTCTGTAACAAAGCGAATAGACATTTAAAGACTATTCACTCCTGTTATTTGAATAATAATGGACTTCACAATGTGCATTTTACCCCAATGATTTTCCTGATTGCAGTAGATTGGATAATGCGACAGACAACGGCCAATGAGGAAACAGGCATAGAATGGACTCACACAAAAAGGAACTTGGAGGATCTGGACTTCAACGATGAAATATGTCTGATTTCCCACAAATTGGAAGATTTGCAAGTGAAAAGCAACAAGTTGGAAGAAGAAGTATCCAGAGATGATAGGACTTCAGGTAAACATAGATAAAACAGAAGTGATGAAGATTCCTGGCCAACACCACCACCACCACCACCAACAACAACAGACAACAATCAGCCAACATAAATGGGAGGAACCTGAAAGAAAATACCTCCTTTACCTACCGACATGGGAAGCATCGTTTCAACTACAGGGACGGAACTGACGAGGATATCAAAGCCAGAATCGGAAAAGCAAGACAAGCTTTCATCACTCTTAAGTCTGTGTGGAGGTCAACGTCACTCAGCATGAAAATGAAAATAAGATCCGGATTTTCAACTCGAATGTGAAGTCAGTCAGTTCTACTTATCATACGGATCAGAGACTTGGCCAGCGCGTCATAAAGAGCATCTCAAACAAACTACAGACCTTCATTAACAATTGTCTTCGTTCAGTACTACTCAAGATCAGATGGCCTGCCAGTAAAGATCAGCAACAGGGATCTCTGGGAATGACCGAACCAACACAACAGGAACCGATTGTGAAAGAAATAGACAAGAAGAAATGGAGGTGGATTGGCTGGCCATACTTTGAGAAAACAAACCATCAAATGACATCACTAGACAAGCGATTGGTCGAGTGGAACCAGGCCGAAAGGGAAGCGGGTGGCGAGTTGGTCGTCAGTGTGAGGGTGACTTGGAGGAGGTCATGTGAAGAGGAGATGAAAGCATGTGTGCAGACTTGGAGTGAGGTGAAAACTTTGGCAGAAAACAGAAGGCAATGGAGGTGGGCATCTGAAGCTCTAAATTCCTCTAGGAATTAGAGGATATAATAATAATAATTTTACCCCACTTCGGCCTCCTCAGTCGGAGATACCCTTACTGGAACTTGGCAGACGTTATTTCAAACACCAAGAGATTATGCATTCGGGCACAAAGAACGTCGCTTAAATAAAAGCTGTGAGCTCCCAATTGCTCAAGTTATTTTGTATTTCCGGGTGGACAATATGCTGCTAGGTCGTCCTAATGATAAAACTGTCTTATTGGGGGATAACATTTTGGAGTTTCAAGTCATGATTGATGAGTTCCAGTTTGGAAAGGAAGACCATCATTCATTTAAGATGCAGGTACATCCAGGTGGGAAGACACGAACGTCTTGAGTTACACTGCGAATCATCACCAAGTAAATGACATCAGGGTAACTACCAGAAATCATTGGTGTTTCGTACTGGTAGCCAGCATATCGGATTAGACTAACCATGTCAGTCCAATACAAATTGACCAACTGGAAAATAAAAAGTAACTTGCATAAACTATAGAATCCTGTAAAACAAGTTTAGAGGATGAAAAAGAGGAATAAGGAATTCTAGTAGTATAATTAAACTGAACGCATTAAAGTATTACTGCACCGACTCTGGTGACTGAGTGGTTGACTTACGAGTGTAGAACTCTGCAAAAAGACACAACAGTTCAGTGTGTCCAGATTCTGAGAAGTGTACATCAAACTGTAGGAAAGAAATATAAAAAGAACCACAATGGAGGTAATAGAGATGATAATTAGATGAAGAACACATTGTATAACTTCAGAATTTGGATGACGACAAGGAGAATGGATAGATTTACATCACTGCAAACTGTTTCAACATTCTGCAATCACTGATTAATGAGTATGCTGAGGAACTAACCCAAAAAACAAAATCTACACCAAAGACCTAAATAGACTGTTGCCAAGTTTCCACTTGACCACTCCGTGCCTCTTTACCTTTTCTAAGCTAACCTTATTCCATTTGAAATAACGCATTAAGGCAGATGGTATGTGATGATATACCATGCGTATCGCAATAACCTGCGTTGATGAAAAATTTAGGAGTTCGCATAAAAGTTATTCTTCTATAAGCCCATGCCTAATGACGACATTGCTGGTATCGTGACTAAGCTATGAAATTAAGAGTGATGACTTTCTTGAACAGCTTTGCTAGGCATCTATCTTTGAAGGCTATGAAGGACAGGGCGTAGTAATACAGCATTAGAATCAAACATCATTGCAAGCAAGCGCATATCTTTTAGGGCTGTAAGTGAAGCACTTCATAATAGTTTGTGGTGGTGTGACACAGACAATGTGTGGAAACGGAATGTCATTCTCACAGATACTCACACATCAATTGGGCATATATATATATATATATATATATAATGATCAAACTGGGTTCAATCAGTGTTCGCTGTTTTTTTCAGGCACAGACTGGAGCTTTCCTCTGATGACTTCTACCTTATCAGATTATTCTTTCCGATGACATACACTTCGAATGGTTAGAAATATATATATTGGACATTGTATTTGATTCTAGAATCGGAATGCTATTCCCACAGTCCAATACTGCATACGATATATCTATTTGAACATTCTATTTGATATTAGAGACAGAATACATTTCCCACGGTTATCATTGCATTTAATCATTGCATTCTATGTCGTTTGACGTAAATCGAGATCACAGGCTCAGTGATTGGTTAACGAATATAAACTGTAGATGCATAAACAGTGGTTTGATTAATGAAAAATATACCGTAGCTTCTGTCTCTTGTCTTCTGCTGTTACAAGTTGGGTATTTTTAGGATCAATGTGCAGTGTGTAGAAAGTGAAAAGAGAAGAATTACATAGTCATATCTCATATTTCATTTAGCCTTATCCATAATATGTCTTGTATACTTGAGGGGAAAAGCAGATGAAAAATAAGTCTAAGATAAATAAAATGTGTGATAGTTGAGGTGGGCATAATACACCACACAGCTAATTAAAGATAGACAAATAACAAAGACAAAGAAAGACAGGGAAATAACAGACTTGAGGGAACAAGATAAGTCTGGCTGAGATGATTTTGACATATCAGATGATTCCGGGAAATTGCCTGATATTGGGAAATATGCCTAACAAGCATTTCCACTATTGTCGACAGTTTTGTACTGACAGCATTGTTCCAAGGCTTGCAGACGAAATTTTCAGTGCACACACACACACACACACACACAAATGTTTTACTTGCCTTAGATGACACAAACTAACGGTGAAGATCTCCACGGATTGATGTCTACTCTTGTCTGGACTCCCCTAAAGCATTATTCAGCATAACTATACTGAATCCAGAGTAACACGACAAGAAAGAGAGAGAGAAAAAACAACATGTGATTCATCAGATAAGGTTCCTTCTTACTGTTTTCATGATATCAATAATTTGCATTGCATGCTGATAATAATAGTAATACGAGTGATTAGTAAAGCGGTAACTGTCATGTGACAAAAACCTCATTTCTTTTGTTGTTCGCATCAACTCGGGTTCGCTGTTTTTATCAGACACAGACTGGAGCTTTCCTCTGACGATTTCTACTTTCTCGGATTATTCTTTCCGATGACATACACTTCGAATGGTTAGAAATAAAATACAGGTTCGAATCCGTCTCCACCTACTTCACCCAGGGCAACTTGATAGTAGTTATGGTAGTAGTAGGGTAATCAACACTCAAGCAACAATAAGTGTGTGGCTCATGCCCTGACGCATATGATAATCATATTACTGTTTCTTTTAATTCCTAGAGGAACATAGGGCTTCAAACGCACCTCTCCATTGCGTTCGATACTCTGACAACGTATTCAACTTGCTCCACATCTGCACAGATGCTTTTCATCTTCTTTTTGCATCACCTCCTCCATGTCACCCTCGAACTGACAACCAACTCGCCGCTTCTTATTCGAGGTCCACTCGAATAATGGCCTGGCGTGTGATGTCATTTGATAGTTTTCTCAGAGTGTGAGTTGTCCACCTCCATTCCTTCCTTGGCACATATTGAAATATGTACTAATTAAATGATTCCTGCACCATCATTATCGATTGAAGGCAGACAGCATGGATGATAACATCAAAACCAGAATGGGAAAGAGAAGACAGATTTTCATCAACCTGAAATAAGTTTTGAAATCAACTGCACTCACCATAAGGAACGAATTTGGATTTTTAACACCAGTGTTAAGTTAGACAGTCACTCTTTTTATATGGGTCAGGAACTTGGCGTTTGTGTCACGATTTTTATCAACAGCTGAGTTTGCTCAACATTGAAGATCAAATGGGCCATAAAGAACTAGCAACAAGGAAATCTAGGAACGAACCAAACAACAAATATGTAGAAGAAATTGAAGATTAATCGAACAAAAGCTGTGGAGCCCGTTGGGCAAAATCTCACGATGGGCCACCGTGAACACAAGTAGGAAACGACGAGTTAGGTATGAGTCCAAGGGTGACACAGAGATTGTGTCAGGTGGAGATGGGAGTTCATGTGCTATTTCACAGCCAGCTGAAGACGACCGCAGGGAACGGGGCAAAATAGAGATGTGTTGTTGAAGCTCTAAGTTCCACTATGAACCCAAGAGAATAATAATAATAATATAGTGACTGGATTCTGATGATGTAGTAAGATTTTGCCAACTTCTCATTCATGCGTAACAGAGAAGGTTTTGGTTTCATCATTTTTTGTGTGTTTTGACATTTGGTATTTAGTTAACGGATGATGAGGTAGCCTTGGACTGGAGGACCCAGATGTTTACTTCATCTTCAGTCACCACCAATTAACAGTAGCAGTAGTAGTATTAGTATGAGTAGTAGTAGTTTCTTCTCGTTGACATCATTCACATCTCTATAGAAACCCTTGTCCATAGCATAAAAAAGAAAACAACACTGATCGTGATTTATGACTAATAATTTATTAACTTGCCATATATATAGTTAAGTTAAATTGCTACTCATTTATTTATACGATTATTTCTATGCAAATATCTTTTTAGTAAATAAAAAGAAACCTAATTCTAATTAAATCACGATTTCATGCTTATTTGAACTTGGGTCACTTATGCTCAAATTCGACTAACTAGTCAATTCAAAGAGACATCCATAGAGAGAGAGAGAGAGAGATTATTGCAAAAACAATATGTCTTCTGTCTCACTGCTTAGTGCTAAGTGCTCAAAATTGATTTAAGCATGTATAGAAATAGTAAATGTTTTTGTTTTTCATTTCTGCAATCCGAATCAACTATCTCTTAGAATTTTTCATCTAAAGTTGACTAACTGAGTTTCAGCATGGAATTTTGAGCAGATGTGCAGCAGTTCAAGTTGCCACACTCCATGTAGCACACAAAGTCAGAAAAAAGAGAGAAAAGGAGAATTAAAAGAACAACAATAAGAAGATATGTAAGGGAGAAACATGATGGTTTAATGGATCTGAGAGGTTACAGAGAGTGAACGCATTTGCATCACTGGGAAAATTTTTGAGTCATACCACTAGTTGCTTCCAGTCGTCATTGGTTCTTAGCATCTATATCATCGCGACCAAGAAACCTATTCCTTCCTACGTAGTTGGCTGAAACAAACAGCCAAAGATTTCATGAAATGATTCAAAGTTTTGGTTTGATCATCCTGAATCGGCTAACGTTGCTCTACTGGAAAGGCAGTGGCCCAGTATGCGTGATATGTATAATAGGAATCACAATCATGTTAACACACTTAATCATGTATTATTTTACATTCGGTCAATATTTCGTTAAAGTTGACTGTAATATACAGAACCAAAATAAGCATTACAGGAAGCAGAACACGTCAAAGAAAGTGATATTGTACATGTATATTTTGATTGGACACTAGCAACTAGTCTGACGTGTCTAGTCCTTTCTCCGGTGCATACTGAATTCTATCACTCAGTTTTGTGATGTGGCCACCATTCTAGGTAGTTCACCATCACTATGCACTATGAATTGTTGATACCAGATGGTTGGAGGCAATCGGTAGGAAGCTAGATTTCGTGCTAGATGGCACTCAACCAATCAGCAAAGCGTATCTGCCCCCTTGGAGGAACTTATGTCCCTTCCTCGACTCGAAACCTTATCACTCAGCGATGCAGTCAGAGACGCTACCACTGAGTTATTCACGCTCGCGACTGACCTCGTGTAGGAAACGAAACCTAGGTCAAGCAAGGCCTTCTGCCGATTGTCTCTAGCTATCTAATATCAACAGATCCCGTGTATACTTATTCAGACACTTATCAGTCAGTGAATTAATAGTTTCTCTTGTAATAATAACCCTTAAAAAGTAGAGAAGAACTAGAAATATAATAAATGATGTAAATATTACTGGTTAGAACTGTGTAAAACATAACTGTTCAGCTGGCTAATTAAACAGTGTTGTTTTTGCATCCGCATAGAACTCTGAACAAAAGTACAACAATCTAATTCGCCATTTATTCATAAAAGCATCGAGAAGGGTAGAGAATAGTAATGTACTTAAACAAAAAAACCGACTGCATGAAGTGGAATGTTTCAGAATCGAGAGTTTCGTAAGAAGTCTTGGGTTCGAATCCCAGTGGGTGCGTACTGATGATGATTCCCAGACTAAGATGAAACAGCTGTCCAGTACTCCCTGGTTTTCAGTGTTTCTCTAGCTGATGCCTCAATCCGCGGTCAAACTCGTATAAACAAATCTAAGCATTACACGTCAAACTCTAGAAGTTAGTACAACTGCGCTACTGCGAACGTCCCTGGATCAGATCATCAACAGCAGCGTCCAACTAACTTTTGCCTACCATCTTCAGTATCCCAGCCTAACAGTCAACATCTCATTCATCATTAAGTGGCTCAAAACAACAGTCAAACACTTCATATCGTGATGTGATACTCCTGACTTTACTGGTAGAGAAAGGCAGACGTTTGGGTTGTGCAACACACCCACACACACACCAAATTTTTTATCTCAGGTTCCATTTGACATACAGTTTTGAATTATTTTGATTTAATAAATTGGATAAATTGAAACAGCTTATTTATATTTCACTGTTTAACGTTTCGTCGTTGTTTAGTCCAATGATTTAGAAGAAGCAGATTCTGTTGCCGTTGTAGTTCCACTTTGAATTAAATTAAAATCCTGACAAACTTATTCAGCATATTAATTATTTTATCATACAATTCAGTGTGTCATGTTCTAAACATATGATAAAATTTTTTTTTCCTCTTTTCTTCTTGCCATTTTGTTCCTTATAGATAGTTTGGTATGAAGGTCCAGTTCATGTCGCGCTTAGAAGAGAGTTTGTTGAATATATGCTTTACAATGAAAAAGCATTAATTCTATTAGAATCTCTTAAAAAACACGAGAAAGTAATGCGCCAGTGCACTATACCTGATGAACAGTATTTCACCATTCTCAATAATAATCCACAAACATTCCAAATACCTGGTGTGTTTCAAGGATCATTTAAACAAGAAGAAAATTACTTTGTTTTAACACGTGTTAAACTATGGTGGTTTCATATTTCAAAGTGTCATACAAACATTTATCGTAATGCCATATGCATGCTTGGTAGTGGGGATCTACCCTTGTTGAAGAAACATCCGCATTTTTTTGCGAATAAATTTCTACCCGATGTTGAACCGGAAGCATATGATGAATTAGAACGTTGGTTAGCTGATAAAGTGCTATATGAACACAACAACAATCGCACACATCCATCATTTTTATATCAGTATTATGTGAACTATACGTGGGCTCAAACGCACAACTTGACATTCAACGGAGAATTCTGAAGAAGACGATGACGATGACAAAGAAGTCGGTGAAGGGAAAACAGAAGCAAAGAGGAACCATTTAATAAATGACTAAGGTTAATGCACACACAACCAGAGCACAATTTTAGATTTTAGATCTGCCCTACTTAGTATAAATTAAGTAGTACAAATAAATTAAAACATTTTCTCAAAAGGGTTAAAGGAAATAAAATCACACACTAGGAAGTATTGAAATTCTAAATAAATGTAAGGTTACATTTGGGGGTGAAAATGCATCTTTTATTTCTGTTGAACATGTAAACAGGGTGCATTACTTCCAACATCACGTAGTTTTCATCAATCGGATCTTATTTAAATTATCATCTAACTCTCATAATTATTTTAACATTTTTCTCCCAGTTTTCTATTTCTAAAAAATTGACATGTTTGTGTCCATCTCTGTAAAAGAAATAGAAAAATTTATCTCACGTACTTTATTTGTTCTTTGATTCTGAATTCACACAGTCAGCGTTTCTGTCACATTTCGAGAAAATGTATGATCTATACAACTGAAATCCAACGACACTAAAGTTTATAAGCTATTTGAGTTGACTGGAGCCATAATATAGTAGACACGACTTGACATATGACATTGTACATTCATTCATTCATCTATTCATAAAATTCAGAATTATAAGAGCGTTAATCAAATATCTTAATAAATGTAATGCAGTAGATTGGATAATGTGACAGACAACGGCCAATGAGGAAACAGGCATAGAATGGACTCACACAAAAAGGAACTTGGAGGATCTGGACTTCAACGATGAAATATGTCTGATTTCCCACAAATTGGAAGATTTGCAAGTGAAAAGCAACAAGTTGGAAGAAGAAGTATCCAGAGATGATAGGACTTCAGGTAAACATAGATAAAACAGAAGTGATGAAGATTCCTGGCCAACACCACCACCACCACCAACAACAACAACAGACAACAATCAGCCAACATAAATGGGAGGAACCTGAAAGAAACTACCTCCTTTACCTACCGACATGGGAAGCATCGTTTCAACTACAGGGACGGAACTGACGAGGATATCAAAGCCAGAATCGGAAAAGCAAGACAAGCTTTCATCACTCTTAAGTCTGTGTGGAGGTCAACGTCACTCAGCATGAAAATGAAAATAAGATCCGGATTTTCAACTCGAATGTGAAGTCAGTCAGTTCTACTTATCATACGAATCAGAGACTTGGCCAGCGCGTCATAAAGAGCATCTCAAACAAACTACAGACCTTCATTAACAATTGTCTTCGTTCAGTACTACTCAAGATCAGATGGCCTGCCAGTAAAGATCAGCAACAGGGATCTCTGGGAATGACCGAACCAACACAACAGGAACCGATTGTGAAAGAAATAGACAAGAAGAAATGGAGGTGGATTGGCTGGCCATACTTTGAGAAAACAAACCATCAAATGACATCACTAGACAAGCGATTGGTCGAGTGGAACCAGGCCGAAAGGGAAGCGGGTGGCGAGTTGGTCGTCAGTGTGAGGGTGACTTGGAGGAGGTCATGTGAAGAGGAGATGAAAGCATGTGTGCAGACTTGGAGTGGGGTTAAAACTTTGGCAGGAAACAGAAGGCAATGGAGGTGGGCATCTGAAGCCCTAAATTCCTCTAGGAATTAGAGGATATAATTAATAATAATAATAATAATAATAACTTCCCCAATGTTGAAGCGATGCAATGAAATGCCTTTAACACAAGTAAGATTACTCTATTATGAAATCATACTCTACTTCATTGCCTGAATTACACTCTTATATCAGTGAAACGTATTGTCCTCCCATTAAAAAGCTTCTCAAAAAAGTCATACTGATTTCTTTTACCAAGGCATGATTCACATGTCATTGTATATGCAACATTCAATGTTTAAAAAATCGTCCATCTCCTGAAAACCCACTGTTGAGTACTCAAATTACGAAAAACAAAATAACCTCGGCATTTGAACATGCCAGCAGATTATGTCTAAGAGAATGACTTCATAGGATTATTACAAGACTAAACAATACATGAAATGGAATGGATAAATTCAAATGTATGGTAAACTGAAAAGATTGCGAAGTCCTATTTGGAGCCTTTCAAAACAACCTGAGAAGCTTTTTTCACGAAGTCGAGGGACAAACAAATTAAGAAGTTCACCAAACCTGATGGAAGAGAAAGAGATAACACACAAAATAACAAAGTTAACAATGAATGTACGTCAACAAAGCGGCTGATCAACCTTTCAACAAAGAGAACTTCTACATTTACTTATCTGTAGTTTAATTTGCAATTCTTATTGATTGAATTTATTCAGCAGTATGGGATAAATTGGTCTCCTTCCCTCTTTTGAATACTCGCGAAGTTTGAAATTTGCTTACTAATTGCCAGTTACGGATGCCAGTGTCCGTTACAAATGATTTGAATTGAGGCAATAGTAAAATGGATGTAAATTAAGCCTTTTCTCATTTTATATATCAATAAAGATAGGAATGAAGGGTATGAAGTGCATAACACAGTTGGTGTGAATAAAAGGGACAAGTAATAACGCAGTAAAATCGATGAAGTTTCTCAGATGCAATGAGACAAGTAGTGATTCACCGAGAGTATGATTGGCGAATGCTCACCACTTATAGTGGCAGGTGCCATTTCCTGCGAAAAATAAAATCTCAGGTGTGTTTTGTTTTGCAGTCGATAAATAAATATCATTTATATGACGAGAATCCAAACGGATTCGATTCAGACCGATTCGCTACACAATAAATCACAGCATGATATACTGTATAAATGTCCAACTATCCAAGTCAAGAAGCATTGCGAATTAAAACAAAAAGCTAACACTTCTGACTACTTAAAAAGATTTGCGTAGTATGACGCTATGTGTAACCAATCAGAACAGACTTGGAACTAATGTCAGTAAAAAGTTTGAACATTAGGGAATAGATCTAATAAAGTACAATTATATTTCAATAGTTTACACGCAATAACAAAACTTATCATTGTGTGTAAACTACTGAAATATAAGTATACTTTATTAGAGTTGGAACTATTTATTTTAGCTTAATTTGTGTTTCTTGTCGATTGATTTATATTGGGATGAAATGATTCATCTCTACTGACATGTCACCTCCTAGTGTGGAATCTCCGGTGATGTCTGGGCATTAAAATGATGTTATATTGATTAATTTTCGCTAGCAGCGGAATTGTATATCCCGGCTTAACCTACAACTGTCTACAGCCTACGGTAAGTTACTAATACGGAAACAGCTCTAAAAACCCGTTGGGACAGGTCATATGTGACTCATTTGGGGTAAGTGTCCCCTGGGCTCTGCTGTCACTCTCTACCTGTTTCAGGCACCTCATGGAACAATCATATTACGCAGTTTCAGTAGCCAGGAAGTAAGAAATGCTCAAAAACTTCCTAAAGCACACGTATCTCTCCTGATAATCACCCACATTTACTTAAATCACCTTCATCCTCTTGCGTTCCTCCCATTATCAACACTTTTCCACAGGCTTGTTCTTCAATTTTCATAAAAAGGCCTTATTCTTACAAATGCAGTTCCTCGGCGGTTACATCAGAGAGATACTATTTGCTATTATATCTTTATTATAATTATTATAATTTAAGCATCTTTAATAAACTGTAATTCCACTGATCTTACTTTACAAATCGATATGCTTTCAAAACACTAATATTGATAATCACTAGTATTCTAGAACATTCTATGTATATAAACATATATATAATTGTAGAAGCAGAAGAGGAAATTATCTTAAAGGATATTCTTTGCTTAATTATTTTGGGCTATATAGATGTTTGAATCTATAGTTCTGTTCAGATAGTCATTTTTCTGCCAAGTCAGCATTAACTTCAAACACAAAGAGAGACATTCCTGATCTGTTGACCACCATCATCAAACCGACGATGGACTCTAATAGACCAGTAAGCGATAAGCTATCGTTGTCGGGAGAGGGTAGAGGACTGCCGCTCCACCTGGAACGCCTGCGAAGACTCCGATCATGCCCTGGTTCACATACATTTATGCTTACGATTGAACTGACATATGAAGCTGATAGCAATGAACCTGTTACACCACCAACTAAATCAGGACATGGAGTCCCTAGTTAAGGAAGAATTAGCTAAATGTGTATCTGATACCGACAGAAGGACTCTGATGAGCAAGCATAGTACATTATCCAGTCATATCTGCACACAGCTTTCGACGTTGTTACCAATCTAAAACCAGAGGTTAGTAAAAGTCAGTGGATTTCTGCCTCTTCATCAGAACTCATAGCTGCAAGAGGACTGAGTGTGATGAGGAGCAAAAGCTGCTCAGATGCAAACTGACAAAGTGTCGACCGAACACACTTGAACATTAACGAGAGACGATAGGAAGAGAGATGGAGAAAGCGCTAGCAGTGGGTGACACCAGAGAACTGTTTGGACTAATTAAGGATACAGGCGACAAAAGGCCAATAATAAGCGAGACAATCTCCGAGCGAAATAACTTCCTAATTAACTCTCAGTAAAGAAGACTAGGTCCCATCAAGAAAAATTTCGAGAAGAGATTTGACCCATCTACAGCTGCTTGCGCAACATCCGACATCTATCTGAGAGGGATGTGGATACCAGTCTGCAAAGTACAGATGCGGGTGCAAATGTTGTTTGTGATCTGCAATGTGGGAAATCAGCTTGACCCGAGGGAACTGGTGCAGAGGTGTTTAGGGACGGTGGTAAAAAATTGCTCTCTGCGTCAACTAAGCTATCAGCAAACGTCTGGGAACCGGAAATAGTCTCGTTGGCCTGCGGTACGTCATTGATTATCCCTGCATACAAGAAGGGAACACAAGTATTCCTGTGATAATCATGGAGGGATTAGTTTGTCTAATATGGTATTTAGAGATCTAAGCCCAATGAAAATGCACAGATTAAATAGTTGTACAGAGAAACAAACACGAGAATATCAGGGAATTTTAGAACAGGGAGATACAAGGAACAAAGTATATTGATCACATATCCACCATTCAACAGATTCCGGAATATAGGAATACCTTCCAACGTCTAATAATTGTCATATTTCTTGACCTGAATACTCCATTCCACTCCGTCGACTGAGAGGTAAAATGTCAATGTTTGACCGTGAAGCGAGTGCCGAGAACCTACACCACTCTAACTAAGACACTCTACTCGAAATGACCAAGTAAGCCATGCAAGAGTTTACGGAGTGTTGTATTCTGAAATGATGACTATCAGTGGTGTTCGTCAGGAATGCCCAATGTCCCTATTTCTATTTACCTTCATCATTGATGTACTGATGGCACTAACCCTAACTGACTTCCGCGACTCAGGGATTGAATTGTTACCAGGGTATATATAGTCTTGTTGATTTAGAATATGTGAGTGATGCGGTCGTCGTAGGTGAAGAAACCAATAGAATGGAGAGT